ACTAAATTAAACTAGCTAGGAGTTCCCGTAGCTTCCAAGTTGTTACCTTTGAAGGAATGAAGTCAGGGTAAGTATTCTTCCTATTCGACCAAATTCCATTTGGCTAAGGCGTCTTCGAGTGCGTGAGATAGTCTAGTTAGTAGTGTAAACGAGTAAAGTTATCGTGGATTTCCTGGATTGAGACACAGGTCGTAATCCCGGTGTTGTGTAATGACATGAACGTACTGAATAAGCTTGACACAATCCTTTTGCGATTAGACTTGCCCTGAAATCAGGGAATCAACGTAAATATTTGTAGCTTCGAAACGGTGTATACACGAAGTATGAGGTATGTCTATGTACAAGAATGAAACAGTTCATCAACGAGTTCCCGAACTGTCGTGTTCCTGGTATCCACGTTACATCTTTCATCATTCGTAACTTCTCACTTGGAGAAGGTAGCCTTGATCACCTGGATTCTGTTGCTGTTGGTGAAAGACATGGTCAAAGTCTTTCCAGACTCGTCAAGGTAGGGGTGAGCAACGCCAGCGTAGACCAGGCCATTGTCAATAGGCTGAGCCTGGAAGATCTGGACATCGGGAGTCCAGGGGCCCTCAGGGCTAGGGGCCGTTCTCAAGAACACAGCGCCGCCGCCAATGCCTGATACAAAATAAGTCAATCGAAACTCAACCCCCATATATGTCAATGAGAATACTAACCGAGGTGAACCATGATGTAGCACTGGTAAAACTGGTTCCAGACAACCTGGCCCTGACCAGTGCCCCAAAGAACAGCAGTCTCAGACGTGAAAGTCGTCAAGCGGTCCGACTTCCAGCCTTGCTGGCGGCCCCACCAGTACTGATACTTGGTCAAGTCGAAGGCGTCGCTGGCCTTGACGCGGACCATGTAGACGTAGCTCCCGTCGACCCAGCCAGTCTTGGTCGTCGGGGGACCACCCCAGGCGTAAATGTACTCGGAACGGGGGTCGCGGAAGGCCATAATGTCGCCATATCGGGGGTTGCTGTTGGCCGGCCACCAGAAGCCTTGATCGCCGAAGCGCTTGGTCACGGTTGGAGTGCCGTTGATGACATCGACCTTGGCGATGCCAGCGCCTACGAGCCCGTTGGAGTTTTGGTTCTACAAAGGACGTTACTTTCTGGGTTTCTTCACATGCGATCAACCAGATGACAACTTACGACAAGATAGAACACCGCGCCGGTTTTGGTGGCAGCGTTCACCTCAACCAAACTGGTCCCGCCAAACCCAGTGTCTTGCTTCTCACCCCACGAGGCGTTAAAGGGAACGAACTGGTTCTGGCGCCCGTTGCTTCCCAGGTTCAAGTCGTGCACCAGCAGCGGGTTGTTCGTGGTCGCCGACACGGCGTCGCGGACCATGCCGTGGAACCCGGAGGTGTCCTTGGCGGGGTCCGTCACGCCGGCATCGCACCAGAGGGTGTCGCCCCAGACGGCGTAGTACTTGCCGGCGATGGCGCCCGTGAAGCCGAGATCGCGGTGGGAGCAGCTGTTGTCGGCGGTCTGGAAGCCCAGGTAGTCGACCTTGGGGTTGGCGATGGGGTTCGTCCCGACGGGCTGGGTGTTGTCGGGCATCCTGCGCGAGACGGGGTTTGCGTTGGCGAAGTTGCTGCAGGTGTCGGTGCCGGCTAGCAGCGCCGCGGCGAGGGGTAGAAGACGTGCCGTGTGGGGACGCATGGCGATCTCGATTCTGGTCTTGTTGGGGTTGCAACCTCGGACTGAGGGGTATAACGTGATTGTCGTTAAGGAGGGGACGAGAATGGCTTCTCGGTGTGACTCGGTGTGATGATGAATGAATGGGATGCCGGATTCAATCTGGCTGTTGAAAAGACTGTCTGCAGTTGGAATCTAGAAGAGTGAAGTTATCGCAAGAAGGAATGCTGATGATGCGCGAGCGCCTGGTCGAGGGAGAGAGACATATTTAGAAGCTTGGCCCTGCTTCACTTTATGTACTCGATTGCGTAGTGCAAGGTGGCCGTGATGCCATATTGTCAATCTCCCGACTTGATGGCAGGATGTGGGCGATGGATGACAGGGCCAGATGGTGTGGCAGGCCGGGACACCTCACGGACGGGACGGGCTGCAGATCCAGAACGCCGGACGGTGCGCCACGGCGCTGTGGGGCGGCTTCGGGACCGAAGGCGGGCTGAGAGTGAATGAAGGAGCAGGGCCAGAGCTTCCTTGGGCTGGCGAAGGACGGGTGTGGCGTCGTGATTGCGAGACAGAGCTAGCGTGCTGGTAATTTTGGTGCCTTGTGGGAATTATGTGGCGCCCATGCAATAGTCATCATGAGGATTGGTCCTGTAGTAAGTTGCGGAGTGAAATTGTAGTCGATGACGGAGTCGCGATGTCCTGCAATAGCCACTGAAGACAGAAGTTTGATGGAAGCTTTGCTGCACGTTGGGATAGGTCGATACTTGGGTACTCCGTGCATCATGGGCAATTAGAATAACATGATTTTAAGTTGCGAACGTCCCGGATTCTTCTACCTGTCGCGTATTGTTACAAATGAAAGGATTCTTCAATTCATCGAACATGGACAACCCAACATCAGTAGTCTGAAGGCGCTCACCAGGTTGAATTGTCTTGGATGAACTAGCAGCTCCGCGGGTTTTCATCTTAATTCTCATGGTCACAATGATGGTATTCGACGATCTAAATCGTGATTACGAATACTGCATGAGAGAGCATTATCAGCCACCCAACTCCGAACACAGCGGGCGCCCGTTCGGGGACGGCAGACCAAACGAACGAACCATGAACCATCCAGGCTCTAGAAAGCCACATGCCTCTCCCCAAGGCGCCTATTGGCCAACAACCCCTTGGTATGTTTGCCAAGTCGGGAAGCTCGTTTGTGCGGGGCAAAACGGGCATCGGCAGTGGGGGCCTCATCTCCAACCGGCGAGCTTCCCCTCATCGCCGTCCACTTGGAATCCCCCATCCGGAGTGCACTTCCGCCTTGATAATCCCGGCCTACTCGGTTTTCATGGCGAGGAACGCGCTCTTTTTAAATTCAACGTTATTTAATCCCGCGATCGCTTGTTCAGGTCCTTGTCCACGACGACGGCCAGCATCGTCATGTTGCGTCCCACGTGCGCCGACCTGGCCCGGCTGTTTGGCACGCCCCTCCGGCGCCTCCGTTGCCATGACCATGATGGAAGCCTCTGCGGTCCTTCCGGGTTTCTCTTGGATGTCTCCCGATGAAACCCTGCCAGAACATAAAAAAGCACTGTCCCAGACTTTGAGAACTTTGCTGTTCATTCTGCTCCCCAGTTGAAGTGTCTGCCTTGCCAATACCACCCAAACTAACCATGGCACCGGTGACCTCGTCCCTGGCCGTTGCGGCCGCCGCCCTCCGTAAGCTCCGGTGCCCTCACCCATCCTTTCCGGCCGAAACCCTAACATCCATGAAGTCCTGCTCCCCCTGACATCCGCCGACCCCAATGACACCTTCACCCGCAACGGCCTCACCTGGTCCCGCGGCCTCCGCATGAACCAGATCCAAGTCGTCGGCACGCACAACTCGTACCATCGCGAGTCCCCGCTGGAGGAGCGCGACACCCAGCGGACCATCCTCCCCGACACCCAGAACTACTGGTACTCCCACCCGGCCCTCGACATCCAGGCCCAATACCAGTCCATCCGCAACTTCGAGCTCGACATCTTTGCCGATCCCGAGGGCGGGCATTATGCTTCCCACCTCATCCGCGAGCTCGCGAACCTGTCCACCACCCCGGACCCGGAGCTGCAGCAGCCCGGCATCAAGGTGCTCCACGTCGCTGACGCCGACTACCACACCACCTGCAAGACCTTAGTGGGATGCTTGCAGATTGTCAAGAAATGGAGCCAGGCGCATCCCGACCACGTCCCCATCCCCTTCATGATCGAGTTCAAGACAGCCGAGGAGGCCTATGCCGCTATGGGTGGCGCCGCGCCGATCCCGTGGAACAACACCGAGCTCCTGCAGGGCCTGGACGACGAGATCCGCAGCGTCTTCGCGGCCGACGAGCTCGTCACGCCCGACGACATCCGCAGAGGCAACCTGACGCTGGAGCAGTCCGTCCTGCAGCACGGCTGGCCCGATCTCGAGAGCGCTCGCGGCCGCGTCCTGTTCCTGATGGACAACGGGCCGGTCCACCCCGTCCGCGACGCCTACACCCTTGGCAAGCCCAACCTTGAGGGCCGCGTGCTCTTCACCAACTCCGCCCCGGGCCAGTCCGACTGCGCATTCCAAAAGGTGAGTAGTTTCTTTCGTGTGTGTATGTCTGAAATTCGACATCGCTGACCGGTTCCAGCTCAACGACCCGACTGGAGCCGAGCAGGCGAACATCCAGGCGCAGGTCAAGGCTGGGTACTGGGTCCGCACCCGCGCCGACGTCCCTCTCGACACGCTCCTGTCCAACGACACCACCGGCATGCGCGACCAGGCCTTCACCAGCGGCGCGCAGGTTGTGTCGACCGACTTCCAGGCCTACGGCATGAGCTCCCGCTGGGGCGTTGATTACGCTGCCCGTCTTGACAACGGGCTGGCCGCGCGCTGCAACCCCGTAACTGCCGGTACGGGATGCGAGGATGCGAAGCTTGAGCCTGCGGAGTACATTCACAACTAGATTTGGTCGTGTATGAGGCGAGATTGCACATATTTGTGGGAGTGTGAATAGTAATGATAATATAATGGGGATAATCGACCCCTGAAACCGACCACTTTTCCATGTTGTTACCCAGGTAATTGATGAAGGGAATATGTGCGAAGTAGACTTCCATACCGTCAGCCCTCGTGTAGGAAGATATCGAGACAGCGAATGATGCCCGAATCATTCGACGTATGAAACAAGAAATCTACACGTATCCCTTGGCCGGCGGTTCCTGTGTTCACCTCACGGCCACGCTTTGCGACACCTGGATCCAATCCCAGTACGCCTTCCAAGACCATTCCCGCAAATATAACCCCCGAGTTTTAAGCCGCCAACGAACTCCAAAATGCAGCATTTACGTCTTTCGGCCGGATCCCGGGTGACCTGCCCAAGCAGACAGATCGAGAGCCGAGTTCTGCGTAATGTGTTAGTGTCGTTCTCTTCCCAGCTAGTCGATGTACGACAGAATTACTCACCATGTACAAGCATCCCCACGTTGATCGTGACCGTCCGCCGGGTTGACGCCGGCGACGGCACCGGGCTGGGTGTAGAAGCACCTAGACCAAATAGATCCCCGCCAAATGTCGGGTCCAGACTCATCGGATCTTCCATCGACATTGTCGACGGGACCCCCTGGGCGGTCGTGCCCACGAAGTCCAGCGACGGCGTGCCGGTTGCCTCGAGATTCACGGGCTGGCCCGTCGATTGCGACAGCGGATTATCGCCAAAGGGGGCCGCCATGTTGAAGTTACTCTCAGCCATCGTCGTTGCGATGTAGTTGTCAACAAGCGGGTTGAAGCTCCTCTCTGCGATGGCCTCATCCGTAAAGTCGGCAGGGTTGATCTCGGCCGTGACGAAATCAGCCGCCGGTGGAATGACCACGCCCCTCTGCCGCAACGACCACTCGACCTCGTCTGCATCGTAAAAGTCGCCGTCGAACCCCGGCACAGACATGCGCAGCTTATGGTCGACCCTGGCGTCGCGGATCTCCTCCGTCTGCGCGTTCCACGGGCCGATGCCGTACATCGAGTCAATCTTTTGCCTCTCAGGCTCCAGCGACCCCTGGTTCCCGACCTGCGTCTGCGTCGTGCGCGACGACTTGTCGTGCCTCGGCAAGTCGCTCGCGTCCATCTCATTGCGCATCTCGTCAAAGAAGGTCCCGCCGCCGCCGAGGTGCAGGAACGGGAACCGCCAGTTGAAGAGCGTCTCGCGCTGGTTCACACTGAGCCGGTTAGCCAGCCTCTCGACGATCTTCTCGCGGGGCTCGAACAGCATGCAGAAGCCGAAGACGGAGGCGACGCGGTGCGGCGGCGGGTTGGGCATGCGCAGGAGGACGTACGCGCGCTCCAGCGTCGACCGCTGCAGCCGCCGCCCGAACGTCCGCTCCTGGTATGCGTACGAGCTCGGCGCCGAGAGGAGAGAGTAAGGAGACTCGGAGAAGGAGAGGGGCTGGCCCGACGAGTCCAGGAGGCCCGCCGTGTCCAGGCCGTTACCCTCGAGGGACATACCGAATGGGAAGCTTGCATTGTCCGGCGTCGGCTCCGTCACGATCTCGTAGCCCAGCGGTGCCTGGGAGGCGACGGTGCGGGCTTCGAGAACTTGGCTGTTGTGCGCCCAGGAGGTTGTGTGGATGGCGGTTAGGGCGTGAGATTGATGATGAGGATGGTGGTGGGCCGAGGAGGTGTGGTCGACCATGTATCCCCCGTAGAGGACCTGGTCGGGCTGGGTCTCTGGCTGGGCCCTGTCTGGCGAAGGCGACTTTTCGCTGGGCTTGTCGGGGTTGCTGTTCGGGCTTGACCTGTGTCCTTCGGACTCATGGCCTGGAGCGGTAGCCATGTCGACATCTTTCCCGCCGTCTTCGCTGGTTCTCCGTGCCAACGAGTAGAACTTTTCAGTCGTTGCCTGGAGTTGCTTGCCAAACTCAGGTGCGGTGTCCAGCATGCCCTTGCCGACGGCGAAGTCGTACAGCTTCATGAAGGCCTTGCTCATCTCCTCATTGTTGCTCCTGAGCTGGTCTACCTTCTTTTCCAGAGTCTGGATTGCCGTCTCCTTGCGATTCCGATAAGCCCTTTGGGCCAGGCGGATCTGGGTGCGACGGCGCTAGGTGAGGGTTAGACCATGACATCAAAATGAATGCGACGCATGAACTCGGGGAAACTCATTCATAATCCAGTAAAAACAGCACATTGCGTCACGCAGCAGCAGCACCATACTTACATCCTTTGCTGTTTCGTCATTGGTATCAAGTCTCGGTCTACCTCGCGACCGCTTCTTCTCCTCCTCCTCCTCCTGCTCGCAGGTGTCGACAGCCTGCGTCTTGGTCCGCTTCCTTGACTTGCCGGAGTCCTCTCCGGCTACCCTCGCCCTCTCAGCCGGGGGCAAACTCCGCGGTGCGTGGAAACCCCGCACGCCATCGTCGAAGGACTCGGCATTGAGTATCGACAATTCCGGGTTCTGCATGAATGATATCGGGTAGCCGCCTGGGAACTGGAGAACGCCGTTTTGGTGGTGGTGGTGGTGGTGGTGGTGGTGATGATGATGATGGGGATGAGGCTGAGGCTGAGGATGGAAGAAGTCGCTGTCGTCGCCGGCGTGGATGAACGGAGCGGCGGCGGGTCCTGCAGGGCCCGGCGCTGGGAAACCAACAAAGGGCGGCGGCTGGGGCTGAGGGATGTGTGTGTGTGCAGTCACTGAGCCCTGGAGCTGGATCGGGACTAGATCGCTGGCGTTAGGGGTGAAGTTGGGGTCTGGGGGCAGGTCGAAGCTGCTTGCAGTTGCCTGGTACTGGGCCTGGAGCAGTCTAGGGTCGTGGGGATGGCGGAGGAAGGAAGATGAGTCCGAGGTCGAGGAGGTGAGCGACGCTGACTGATGGGACTCAGGGGGCGATGTATATGAAAAGTGGTGTTGTAGTTGTTGCTGTGGTGGGTTTGGGTGGGAGTGGTTTTGATGCTGGGGCTGGATGTACGGCTGGGTATCATAAAAGATTACAGTTGTCGCTTCTTGCCGACCGCTGGGCTGACTCTCTTGGGGGTGATGTCGTCGTTGTTGTTGTTGTTGTTGTTGCTGCTGCCAGCGGGATTGTGGATGATGATCATGCGACAACTCCTCATAAACGGTGCTACCACTGTCGCCAGAGTGGCCTTGTTGGTGCTGATTAATTTGGCTGCGGCGCTGCGCCGAAAGCTGTTTAGAATGCCGGCGACTGATAATCAATTGTCCACCTCTTCGTCCAGCAGCTGGTGAAGGCCCGTTGTTGAAATGGGTCCTCCCACGGGAGGGAGGAGGAGGAGGCTCGTCCAAACCATCGGCCGGCGGCTCGGTGGTCTGCGCATCCAAGGAGCTGGAACGGAGAGGATTACTCATCTCTGCCGACGGTACAGCGGGTGCGCCAGCAACGGATGGGGGGGGGGGGGGGGGGGATGCGAGGGATCGATCTAACAAAGTTTAAAGGAAAATGCCGACTAACACACCTAATCTCGGAGCCTGTCCGTGTTGCGTGCGACGTCGGCGGGCGAGACAGGTGATGCTGTTAAGGTCTGATAACCCAGTCATCCTGTCGCGCCGCTGGAGCTGTCAGAGGCGGGGAGCTGCCCGCCAATGCATACAGCACGGCGCCCTGCAGACGGTAGCTGGCGATTCGTGTAGTTGCGAACGGGATTGGCTGATACGACTTAAAGTGTGAATAGGACCACTTAAGATGGAGTGAATCTGTAATTAAGTCTCGTTCTGTGACGATTAACTGAAACTAGGACGAGAGATTGCGAGTGAAAGTTGAGGGTAGAGTAGAGTCTGTGGAGCTCTCTCTGCTTGGCCCATGAAGGACAGGCGGCAGACGGGCTTCTTTTTCAATCCGGCTCATCAGTCATGGATGAGACAGCGCCTCAACCCTCATGACAATAACTTCTCTAGTGGGTGTCTGGGGAATGGTCGTACATGGTTCATCGACGGCGCTCCGGGACCGGCTTTTTTTTTCTGTAAAATCTGACGAAATGGGCTTGTAGAAAAAGCAACCGGTATGCACAGAGTCGCACCGCGGCACACACACTGGTGTGGACGAAGATTGCCATCATCCTGATAATCCACCCCTCGTCGTCTCCAATCCCAAGCAGTGGGTGACAAGGTTGGACAAGGGCGGCGGCGTCTGCTGTGGCCCAGCCCAGCCTCGTGGGTGAGGCAAGTCGAGTCCGTCACAATGCCCTTGGGAAGTCCGGGGGTGGTTTTCTCACAAAGAGACAATAGGAGAAGCTATCAAGCAGGGAATAACACCGCCCAGCAGTGAGGCATTGGTTCGCGGAGCCGGGTACTGGAGGCTGTGACGAGCAGGTTGACGAGCCTCGTTTTCTTCGTAGACCCCGACGAGGCAAGGGTATCGCATGGGATCGGCAGTTTGCAGCTCTCCCCCGAGAACATGGCCCACGTCGGAGGTGAGGGTGCATTCGGCTGGCTTGATGATGTCCCAGCCAGGGTGCTGCAAGTGCATCATCACCATGGTATTAGCCACCTTGCTCAACACCCTTCTTCGCCTTAAGGACCCGGTCGGTTGGTCTAGTGTGTGCGCATGCAAGTGACGAGAACCCGTACCCAGCTGCTCGAGGCCTCTATTGGATCGGGGAGCGGCGGAACAGGATCAGTCCGAGATTTAATTGCAGCGATGTCGACCTGGGAGAATGTCACCGGCCTGGCCAGCCTCACTTTTTGGGGGTCGCGGTTTTGCCTCTAGCAGCAAAGATCGCCGCAACACACGCCAGAATCCCACGCGGAGATTTTTATTCCTTGGAAGGCTTCCAGCTCCCAAAAAGCAAAGCTAAGAAACTTATGCATCCTGCTTACGCTCTTGAGACGACTCTGAAGAAGAGTGCAAAAATGACAAAAAATACCCCTGCATGGCGTTTCGGCCAGAGGCCCGCGGCGGCCGGGACGTGACGGTGTTCCCAGCCCCGGAGGATGGGGAGCAGCCAGGCAACGCTCGCATGCACCCCGGCCGGTGCTGGCGGAGAGAGAAACACAAACACCACTACAGCATGCATGGCGCGCACGCGGTGGCGACATCCGGCCTCGGGATTGATTGGACAATCTTGCATTGCGACAGCCTCATGATCTAGACCCGGTTCAGGGTCTTTGTTGGATCGTCCAAGCAATTGTCTCCAACGAACGGTCCCAGCAGCGCGGCCCCGGAAAGTGTCTTGCTTCATCAGCCATTTATTTCCGGCTCGCCATCTTGAACACCAGTGACTGAGGCGATGGAGCTGAGTGGCCGGCCCCGGTGCATGTTTCCGTAGATAAATCTCAGATTATTGCCGCAATTGATGAAGAGCGGAATTGGCCCAAGACAAGAGAGAAGACGATAATTCGAGGGACAGACAGTATTCGCTGATACCCCCATGTCTTCTTGTTGGAACTGGAGTTCGGGCCGCCTTGGACCCCTTCTCTTGCCTGTAAGCCCGGGGCTTTCATCATTGTGACCACCGAACCGGGGTGTCCCCGCGGGTCCGATCTGGATTCTGTCAAACGGCAGCCAGATCGTGTCACTCCTCTAGCTCCGGGTCGTACGACGAGATCCCAGCCGCCCGCCTCACCTCCCTCGGGAACCCGTCGATCTTAGCCCGAATCGCACTCATCACCGCCGTCTCAGGGGCGAATTCTTGGAGGCGCTCACCAGGCTCTTGCTTGGACTTCGCGTCCCGTCCCAGGGCAACGGTAGCAACCGTTGGATCAGCGTGGTCTCGCTCCTCGAGAGTCGTGATTATTCCATGATTCTTCGAGGTGTACAACAAGGTGGTCTCGTATCAAGACGGACTGTCATAAATGATGTCAGGGAAGCTGGACCTCTCAGCTGTTAATCACGGTCTTCGCCATGTTTGACATTGATACATACCTAGTGGGTGATGGACTTGTTGCGCATATCATCTCGGCGATAATTGTCATGTTCTCCTGCAGAGTTGGTCACATGCATGCACAGGGGCGCGTCATTTTGTCGGCGCATTGTGGCTAGATCACCAGAGTGCTGCAGACTAACATTGATCTGGCCATTGAGGAGCCATCTCGCGATGCTACTCAATGTTTTATGTCCGATGTCGCCGGTGTTCAATGAACCTAGCCTCTACTGTTGTAGTCGTCAAGGCCTACACCGGCAACACGAATTTCCCACGAGACTCTCAACTACATAGGATCACATTCGCAGATTTAGTGTAATGTGGGTGATCAACCATCCAATACTGGCCCAAATATCGGATACATAACTGGATACAGAGACATGAGAAAGAGGGGAAAACCAAGGATAAGTTGTTCAAAAACTCCGCGCGTCTCTGCGCTTGATTTACAGCGGTAGAACCACATCTTTGCGTGTCTTAAGCAACGATTCCCCCCACTCAGGATGGCCTAGATGAGATGAGTTCTATCCAGTAAAGAAGGGATGGACTGGCTGTGATGTATACAGGGGCAACTCACAGTCGGCGCAACTCTCGCCCAACCGAAACCGCCGGCGTGCACCGAAAATCAGCTAGAGCGCCCTGTAAGGAGAACGGCGGGGAAAATGGGGCCTGTCGCCGGGCTTAATGCAGCCCCCAAAGGCCGCACAGGCGGCAGTAAAGGGGGCCACATTCGGTACGGTGCGCCGGGACTCACCTCCTTGACCACCAACGGGTTCCTTCTTAGTACGGGCAAGCTGACCGGGCCATCCTTGCCACCGAGCTGACACCCCTCATTCTCTCACTGCACTGCGCTCAACATTTTCGAGAATCGTCCTATGACGAGGCAACTCCAATCTGGGCGGACAAGCATGGGAGTACGTCGATTCTAGGCGTGACGTAGCTTCGGCACACTGCTTAGCGACTCGGACGTGGTCGAGGTCCAAAGTGCAGAGCCGCGGGCGCAAACATGGCCGGCGGCAACCTCGAAGAGGGTTGGACGACGGTCCACAGACAGTTCCAGGGTCACCCCGAACGATTGCCGCCCGCCCAGCGCGAGCTCCACGAGAGAACCCAGATTAAGGAATGGGAATCATCGGACGGTCACTGGAGTGGCATGTAAGTTCAACCTCACCTGCCCCCGACCATTCCCGGCCACCTCCTTTCACAATCATGAGGACTGACATGTTTGCGGGACAGAGGAAAGCACCCTACCGACTTCACCGAATCGAAAAAGCTCCATCACAAGATCACCGTGCCTCAGGACAATAGTTTAGGCTGGGGAACCTACGGTCGCGTCGAAAAGGTCACCCATCGAACGGTCTGTCTGGCGCGAAAATGGATTCAGCCGAGGCGCGGTCGCACGATAGAGATCCTCCGCGAGGAGGCCCACGTCATGGAAAGGCTGGACCACGACCACATAGTCAAGCTGATTGGCACCTATACGTTTAGACAGCGGGAACTGTACCTGCTGATATGGCCAGTGGCCATCTGCAACTTGGACGAATTACTCACAGACCTCGACGATTTAAGGAGCGGCCAAGGCGATCGCGAGGACATCACCAAGAGACTCATGGCGCTAGGCCTTACCGACTTAAGCGCTATCCAGGGCAGCGCCCGCGATGCCGCCAACCCGGGCTCAAAGGGCAAATGTCCTCTAAAGTTTCTCCAGCGCATCATGGGCTGCATCGGCCAAGCTGTTACGTATTGCCATCATTCCAACATTCGCCATCTCGATCTCAAGCCTACGAACATCCTGCTGAATCCTGAGAGAGTCTACTTGGCCGACTTTGGTACCGCTCGGGATGTGAACGACCAGGAAAAGACTACGACAACCGGCCATCAGGGGACGCCAAAATGGCGGGCCCCTGAGATTTACGACTTGAAGGACTGGTCTATGAAATCTGCCGATATCTACTCCTTGGGCCTCGTCTACCTGAATATCGCCACAGCAGTGTACCACGGCAATTTATCAGCCTTCTATACTGTGCTTGAAGACCTCGTCCCTCGCTCTCGTGCCGAAAAGCTCGAAAAGTTTCAATAACAACTGATTTTCCACGCACTGGCGACGCAGCAATTCCAAGAGAATACATCCCCAACTGTCTCTCCACGACACGTCCTGGGCTTAACCCAGAGAATGCTTTGTCTTGAACCGGGGAGTCGTCCCCGAGCAGACCAGGTGGACTACGAACTCGTCGGCCTCGGTGGTATCGAGCAGGTCTACCATAGCCCGTGCTGCAGAAAGAGCACGAGATACTTATCAAAGCGAATCGACAATAGGCTATCCGCGACCCACCGTGAGAGTGTCAGCCTCAAAGCTGAAGTTGAGCGCCTCAAGAGGGAGAACGCGGGTTTGGTGGGCATGGATGAGACTTATAACATGCGTCTGGTGAACCAAGAGAGGTCGCACGCCAAGCACATTGAAAACTTGACCAAAAGCTTTACGAAACAGCTAGAAGAGGGGAGGGGAGAACGCAAGAAATTGGAGGAAAAGATGGCGCAGATGGATATGCAGGCAAGAAGACACAGTCGGTCAGGTTTGCCACGGGTTGAAGCTACGCAGCAGACTCGCTCAACCAACACCCCTGAAGTCGGCAGTGGTCTCGGAATTCGTATGAGGCCACAGACACATCCCATGCCTCAGACCGCCGTTCGACCACCTCCAGTATCAGTACCCTCTGCAGCTCCGTCCCGTCCTGCAGTCGTGACACGAATCCCCTCGGAACAAGCGAAAGCCTGGGTTATTCGGAACGCGGCCGTAATGTCAAGCGGCATCCCAACTCCAGCTCGTACAACGGATTCCCCTCTTCCGAACCCGCAAACGCCACCAACATCGGCGTTGCCATCCCGCAGCTCAGCGTCTCGTCTTCCCATTCTGGCGAAGATCCCGGCGACCCCGCGCACGAGCACGCCGACTCTTGCTCGCGACCCGAGCTTGACTGACAGCACGCAAGCCAGCATGTCGTCCTCAATCTTTTCGCGCCGTAGTTTTGACCCGACGACGGAAGCAGCGCCGACCCCGCCAGCCCTCAGTCCAGTGATTAAGAAAGATACTTTCGATATGACCGTCCGAGAGGTTCCAGCACCGCCGATGCCTAACGATGAGGTACCGAGCCCGGTGTTGTCGATTCCGCCATCCTTCTCGTCGGTCTTGTCGTCTCCGCGCACGGCTACTGTCGATCTGGCATCCGTCGCGGGCAGCGAGATTTCGCAGGAAGGCTTGGCTGCCGTAAATGTGCCTTCTTTGCAGTCGTCCAAGAGCTGGGCAGCCGTTGCTGGCCAAGGGAAGGGGATGGCCAGGATAGTCATCAGCTCACCGTCGAAGGCAAGTCAGTCGGTGGCTCCGACTGCGCCTGCTTCTGCTGGACGAGGGAGGACTAGAGACCGGACGACACCTAGCTCTGGCATGTAGTAGATACACGAGGTTATGATTTATGATTGAATATGAAGCAAAAGCTGGTGGAGATAATTTCCAACATAGTGTGTTCGTCGTTATGACATGATGAATGAACAGCTCCGGGCTTGATCGAGACATGGCTCAAAGGCTCTTGGCTTTGGTGGTATCATTGAATAAGATGGGAATTTACATGAACGCGTCACTATGCCTTCTCCATGGAAGGTTTGACCGGACCAGGCTCCAAGCCCCCAAGACTCCCTTTCCATCTGTCCACCCTCTTCTTCTTGAACCTTTTCAACTTCGTCTCCTTTCTCAACTTTCGATGCTTCATGTACGGCCGAAGCTTCTCAATCACAGTCGGCACAATCCTCACCCCACGCTTCCTCGCCTCCTCCACTTCCTGAGCCAGCAACTCCTCCTCCCCTTTCACAGCCTCAATCAGCGCCTTCGCCTTGGCCAATTCGTTCCGCCGTTCTCTGTCAATCTGCCCAATTATATGGTAGTACGAATCCTGCACCGATTGGTAGTAAGTCGACGTCGATGCGCTGTGCCCCCCGCGACTACGCTGCCCCGCAGCCCTCAACTGCTCGTCCACCAACCTATCCCACTCGTCCTCCTCCCGGGCCGCCGCATAGTCGCACTCGGTCATCTCGATGCTGACCTCATTGATCCGGGCCTTGCGCCACGTCTTGCGGCGCAAAATGTCGCTGACCACGCGCGGCTGCGGCCGCTTGTGGCGGAGGAACGTGTGCCCCTGCGCCGTGACGATGACTTGCGGGATCTTCCTCCGTCCCTCGAAGCTGTCGCGCGGCCGCGGGAACAGACCGGAGACGTACTTGGGCTCCTCTCCGTCCGCCGAGATCCTCTGGAGGACGGGTTTCGGGGGCGGGGTTGTCGGGCCGCGGGGTTTCCTTCCGGGCCGCTTTTTCGCTTCTGCGCGGGCGATGTGCTCGTTCTTTTGGCGGAGGTAGGTGATTATCTCGGCTTGTTCTTTCGACTCGGGGACTCGAGCGTTTTTGAAAAAGGTGAGAAACTGTCCGCGGGGCAACACGCATTAGCTTCTTGCGCCGGTTTTCGAGGGAGAGTTCAAGGGAATGGAATGCGCACCTTGTATCCCGCCGACAAGGCAGCAAAGATCAGCCGCGGGCTCACGTCCGCTTTGTTGCGCTGGAAGCCCCTCTTGATGAGATCCGGCACCGGGTTCTTTCCCTTCCTGCAGACATCTTGGGGAAGCGTCACCTCGCGGCCTTCCCGAAGGAGGGCGCGGAAGAGGGCTATGACAGCGATTCGGTGCCTCGAGCTGCGGGCGGCTATGAACTGCTGTTTGGGCATCGTCGTCCAGTCGAGTGTCGCATCTTGAAATTTTGGGCGGGTGGGAGCTTGGGGTGATCGAAGCTCCGTCGTGATCGGCGCTTGGGCCCCTTCTCTTATCAGCTGGTCTTATCTTATCGGTGACCTTCTGACGCATTATGTAGATACTGCCTGGGTACGTTCTCGCACACCTCAAGCCCGTTTGTTTTCTTCTTCTTTGTTCTCCCAATTAACCTAAGTATTTTCTACATTGAGAGACCTACGGCTTCGTAGGTTTTCCTTCAAAACTACTCAACGCATCCTCGTTCACAGTGCTTCCGGGAATGTGGCCTCGAGACTCGGTCCGTAGTCTGCCTGAGACAGCTGATCGACCGTAAGCCGGCACACGCATCAATTTGCCTGCAATAATGAACATGAATCAAATTAGTTTCCTACGTGAGATTGAGCTGACGTTGCCTTGAAAAGGGGGAGTCAGAGTGTGCTAAGAAAGCCCACATGTTCCGACTCAGACAATTCCAAGGGACCGACGATCGGAATGTTGTCGAAACAATACCCAGACACCCTGTGGAATTCCAAGGGGATGAGCTAACAAATGAGGCACATAAAAACATCGGTAAAAATATTGATAAGTAAAGCTGGGTATAAACATGGCAGGAAACAATTCCCGCCGTTCAATGATTTTGGCTATATCGTTGCTCTCATCGTCGCTCCTCTTGTACTTACAAGTCCTCAAGAGCAATCATCCAACCAACCTCCTGAGACGCCATGAATATCCCAAAGACAACCTTGAGCTTACTTTGGAGTTCGGGAAGCCTGCTATTGGCCTCCGGGCTGACGCAATACCCTGCAGAGGCACCCTTCAGATTCATCAGCTGCGTGGCCCTAAGCGGCACCGACCTTGGGAGTATCTTTTACCCAAAAGCAGCCGGTATAAGCCCTCAAGCGTGCCAGCAACAATGTGCATTGAGCGACTCTCACTTCGCAGCTTTGGGGAGCGGCGTGGATTGCTACTGTTCTCACGCCACCACTGGGCACGAGATGTATCCGGCGCTTGCTCCCGGTGCTAATGACAGCTTCAGTCTCTGCAACACGCCATGCCAGAACTTCCCAGACTATGCATGTGGTGGCACAGATGGAACAAGGAAAATCTACAACATCTTCGGTGTTTGTAGCGCGGCCTCTCCAGTCCCTCCGGCACCGACGACGACATCAACAACAACTTCGAGCACCCAGACCTCCAGCAGCACAGCTACGTCCAGTTCCGCTACGACCGATACAGCATCCAGTTCGTCTTCCACTGGTCCATCCAGTTCCGAAACAACTACCGTGGTTGCCTCCACAACATCATCTACAACTTCATCTACACCACCGTTTACGACATCATCTACAACTTCTTCAACAATACCGTCTTCAGCTTCCTCAACAACATCATCTGTACCATCATCTGAGTCGTCATCATCATCTTCTACAACATCATCCACCGCATCAACCGCAGCATCATCCACCGTTTCGTTGAGTGGAACCTCCACGGTGACAGACAGCGGCTCGACAACAACTCCTTCTGCGTCAGAGACCCCAGGCACTTCCAGCTCTTCAAGTGTTTCGGTTTCTGCAGTCACCACTACCAATACACTTTCTTCCAGTTCCCAGAGTTCTGCGATCACGACGACTTCACAGTCGACATCAATCTCTACTGTTTCACCGTCCGCTAGTATCTCAGCTTCAATCTCGCCATCTTCAAGCCCTATCACTCAGTCTGGGAGTCAGTCCATAGTTCCCAGCTCTTCATTGAGCCAAACTAGAAGCACAAGTACATCTACAGGGTTCCCTACCATATCCCCGCCATTCTTAATGACGAATTCTTCTTCCACTGTATCTCCCACCAGCCTGATTCCACCACCACCTTCGAGCTCTTCCGCCAGCTCAAGCGGCACCTTCAACCCGCCTTCATCAGGCGGATCTTCATCGGGAACAGCGAGTTCACTTGCAAGCTCGGTTATTGGCACCACTTCAATACCTCCATTAGGCCCCTCCAGCTCATTTTCTGGCACTTCGCAAACTCCAGTGTCACCTTCAGGGTCTCAATCGATATCCTCGCCAGGAATACCAGGATCGTCGTCTTCTGCCTTAAGTTCAATCGCAACATCTAGCCTGTTCCCGACAGTATCTGGGAGCCCATCCTCCAACGTTCCGGTAGCATCGTCTGGGTCGAGTCAGGGTACACCGACTGTTACACCAGGTTCTACTGCGACATTTACCACCAGCTCGCCTCTTGCATCCACTAGCAGCTCGCAGATTCTGATCAACGTTCCCATTGTCTTCACCATTATTCCTCCTCCAGCAACCTCAAGCGCTGCTTGAAAGACCGCAGGGCAGTGAGCTATGCCGAGTCTGTATCCACAAATTCACAGGAAACTTCCAAAATCAACCTTGGTTAGAACAATTTCTGTTTAATTTCACTTCAATCAGAGTAACTTGACAGTGTGAACAAAAAGTCAACATGTTTAAAAGTAGAAAGCATGACCCATCCATTCAAGAGATACGTAGAACCCACCATCACCGCAGCATTCTACAGCTGACAAAGTGTCGAGACCGATCCCACCCAGCGGGAATAAATAAGCTTAAAGTCCGCAGTATGACTGTAAGTGGGCACCGTCGTCCTTCGTGAAAGCGAAGCGCATGAGTGGCTCAAGCCATAAGGTTCGTCCGGCCTCGGCCGCTGTGACCGACCGTTGGACCGGATGGTAACGGACTTGGTGTATGGGGTTGATCCGAAACATCTTGCAATCATTGTTGCGGTCTGAATCGAATTGAGTTAAAAGTATCCGTTGTACGTCATTTTGTAGGCTCGCAATGAAGGCCGCTAGCAACGGAGCTATACGGCATCGGAGTTTCAGTGAATTTCCTCGTCTGAAGACCGATGTCCGACGCGGACGATGTAAACCAATGAACTGCAGCTCCTCTCATCATGAATGTCGTAACATCTCAATCTTGTGGATTCTCATGTCAGATGAATTACTACAAAATAAAGCATTATTAATTTCAATCCAGCTCGCCTGAAAATATTTGTCGCGAACAGCGACCACAATTTACGAAGTTCCATTCATATCGCCTACAAAAGGCGTGAGAAACACCCTGTTCGTCCGATCATTCTACTATTAAGAGCTCTTCTTCACTTAAGGTGACTGGCTAGGCATCATCGACTTCCCCGCCTTTCTGAATCATCAACACAATGTCCTCCGAAGCTCACGCGAAAACGCTTCGGGCCTTAGAGCCTCTGATCCAACTTCTGAGTCCGGGCTCTGTCTTGACTCCCAAAGATGAGGCTTATACACATCACTCCGAGCCATTTGCCATTCAAAAGCAGCAAAACCCCGCAGCCGTCCTGGTTCCGGGCTCGGTCAACGAGCTCTCGGAAATCGTCCGCTTTCTTTACGCCTCGGACCTGGATTTCGCCATTCGAGGACATGGGTTCAAGTCGCCGTCGGCTAGAGACGTGGTGATCAGCATGATGAACTTCAAGGACATCAGCTACGATCCAGTCAAGAAAATCGCCACGGTTGGTGCAACTGCTACCTGGTCAGAGGTGGTGACATACATGGATAAAGTCGACCCGGAGTATTCCGGTAAGTAATATTCATCTGCAGGTACCGTCATGAAGGAGTATTCGCTGACGTTGCAAAGTACCTGTGGCTCGCACTCCAGCAATTGGTGTCGCTGGGGCTATCCTGAATGGCGGTATTTCTTGGATGTCGACCGAGTATGGCTGCATTTGCGACCCGGTCAACTTCCTCGACGCGGAGGTTGTCAAGTATGACGGCACCGTCGTTTTGGCATCTCAGGAGCCTGATCTCTTGTGGGCCCTGAGAGGCAGTGGCGGTGGCTTTGGAAGTGAGTCGAACATGAGAAAATGAAGCTGTCTAAGTAACGACTAACAAAATACCTAGTCATCACCAAGGTCATGCTTCGGGCACACCAGTATCCAACAGATATCTGGTCCGGTCTGGTTATGGTGCCACGCAAATGGTTACCGCAGTTGATAGACGAGATGGTTGAGTTCAACCACTCAGTGCCCCACCCCAAAATTACCTATTTCATGTACTTGCTGCCCGAAAGACTTCTTCACACAATTCTAGAACAGGAAGAGCCGGACGCTGGGGACGCGGTGATTTTCCACGTGTATGATGCACTTGGGGAGAAGCATGGTCGAGCAGCGTTTAGCTGGGTGCTTGATAAACCCGGCGCTATCGACCGAACCAGGATCACCAACATGAAGGGTGTCGTTGACATGCAGCGTAAGTTCGCGCCTGGTCATACTGCAGGATTTGTATTAAGTAATGCTTACCAGGAAATGCCGCCGTCCTTCGAGGCAAGATGAAGACATTGTATGCGCCGATGGCTCTCCCCGACGTGGATCGAGACACTTTGAATCGAGCAGTTGCATTCTACGACAAGCTAGGTTCTCTGGATAAATCCATTCAGGACATCTCTAGTATAGTTTTTGAATGCCTTTTGCTGGTGAGCCGACCCTAGCGAAGCACATGTTCCTAACTAACATTATGCATGAAAGCGCCCTCCAATTGGAGGCACAACCGAAGTTGCCTGGCCTCGGGCTCCAGGTCTGAACCATCTCTTGCTCCTCATCGCAAGCTGCCCCGGAGATGGTACGAAAGCGCAGGAAGAGCTCCTTCGGAAAATTTCTATCGATGCGCCTAAAGAGGTTTTAGAAGCTAAGCTTGGCCTGGCGGAGGTTAACCCTGCTGGTCTCGAACTTGATTATCACAGTGCCAAGGCAGTAAGACCAACTCCACAGCCACCGTATGACTCCGCCAACACTAACCTCGCCACAGGTGTACAGAGAACATTACGAGAAGCTGCTTGCACTTAGGAAATTGTATGACCCGAAGTCACGGTTCAAGTCCTTCTTCTAGTTGGACAATCTGGCGGCTGAGCTCGCTTGTGCTAGTCTCGATTTTGTTAATTAACTTGCTCCAAATGTCGTCTCTTTGTTCTTGGCGTCTTCTTGCAGTCAACAATTTGCTGTTCAAATGAGAGTGTGCCAGATGTGATGCGATCTGATGTCATTTAAGCTGGAGTCATTCACATCTCTGAAAGGTTATGCAGATAGAGTCTCTCGGTCATTGCGTGTTCGCCGAGACCGATGGTGTAATCTTACGGAATGCAAACGAATTAAAGAACTCTTTCGGGACCGGCGGCTTATATCGACCACAAGACATTGGCAACCGCACTACAGTTGGTCCCAAGCTCTCTTCTTCTGGTAACATAATACTCACAAGATGACCAGATCTTCCTCCTCCCATATCTTCTAGAAGGTGGTCAAAATGAGATCTATGCAAACCCAATGGCTAACCACAAAACTAAGGCTATATAGTATTGTAGGGAGAGGCGTAAACATTGCGCCACATGTTGTCCAGCACGCACTTTCCAATTACCGTGTCCGCTGCTGATGTCTGGATTCTGTAATAAATCCGTTTGAACTCCGCCGCATCGACACAGCCCGTTTTGATCATCCTGCGATATGTACAGCAGCCGATAGTAGCGGCCCGTGGCAGGTCACCGGCCGTACTAGCCTAGCAAGGGTGGACGACGATCCGGGCCTCCGCGGCTTGCCGCGTCTCCACCATACGAGCGACTCGGGTCTATTCGCATGATGAGACGAACTCTAAAAAAATAAACCTGCTACGGAAAAGACTTGTATTCTCACCGAGAGACCCCTGAATTACGGCTTCGACTTCGTCACTTTGGCAAATAGGAACTGCCGGAAGGAATCCACGCTCGCGGGTCTTGCGGCGACTCTATTGCCATATCTATCTTTGACCCCGGAGGACCTTTCGAAAGTCATGATATTTTTTGTTCACTAATCGAACCACAACTTGCTGACTGGGACCATGTATGCACGCATCTCAGTCTTTTTGTCTGCCATCCTCGCAACGCAAGCGGCGGGCTTGCATCCTGTTCGAGATAGGTTGCCCGCTAACCACGCAACGAACGATCTACATGACAGAACAACTCATGAGCGGGACTACGGAGCACCTAATTCGCCGCGATCAGAACCTGTTTTCACCATTCATCGCGGACAAGAGAACGACACCGCAACCCTGATCCAAAAGGGAGATTGTGTATTTACCGCGTGGGATGAGCTGTACATTACCGATTTTCTTCAAGAACAGCTGGGATATCTGTCGACGAGCGATCACTGCTGGATCATCAAAGGTGTTCGAGGACTGCAGGAACTCTTACACCGAAACATTACCGCCAATCCGCTCAACAATGTCACCATTCCGACTTGCGTTTCCCTCAACATCACCAGTAAAGGGAACTCATTTTCCATTGACTTCTCGACAAACTCTTATGAAGTCAACGGGGTTGCCGAAGACACTTTCGTGCTTCTCACCTACGTCCACCGTGAGTTTTCCCGCCCTTTGGATAAACTTTCGACTAAACCCTTTCTATTTAGTTGTCTGTATGACTGCCGCATTCTTTCTGGCGTATCCCATAATTCTCGTTCTGGCATCAACTCCCAGCTTGTGTATTATGATCGATCGTCCGCTCCAAGAACCAACCAAATCCAAGATTGATCGATGGCAAACAATCTTTCAGACTTTCGTATTCGCGCCTCTTATGATTGGGGGCCTCGTTACTGGCATCATCGGGATGGGGACATCAGACCATGCCAGGACAGAGCACGGTGTAAGTTCCAATTCACGTATGCCTTGGACTGAGTTGACAGTTAACTGACATTCATGCGTCAGATTGTCGGCTACATCACGATAGGCCTGGCGGCAATAGTTGTTCCGCTTTACCTGTACCAACGACGACTCAGCTCACGGCCAGATCTGACGTTCTACATGTATCGAAGAATGAAGTTCATCAACGCTCTGGACTTTATCGTATGCCAAGCGATCCTCGTGATATCTGGCTTCGCCCTTCCGGACGGCATTGACGACTTTGGTGTGATGACTTTGTGTGGCACAAACACAATTTCAACATCATTGATATTCTCTCTGGGTATGATCGTGTCCTTTGTATGGAACTGTGCCATGGCAACCATGACAGTGCAATGGCTACTTGGCCAAAGACTTCAAGGAGGAACTTTTCGGGATAGGGCACCACCTTGGATGTTGAAAGTTCTGCGAAAGAGGTCGATCTAACATGTTTCAACGATTGACGAAAGATAGATTGCATTATATGTAGATAATGAGCCGCAGGTTCTGTTGGCTCGAGGCTGGTAAGCAGCAGGTAATTGGGTTTGATCGTAGACGTAGGCTACCTTTCAAATGGGCCCGGGTTTTCAGAAGGTTGTTTTAGATGTCTAGAGTCATGCATAAGGTGCTTGACTGCCTTACTGCTTTCGCCTTTGAGCATGGCGTTATCCCCTGGCTTTGAACATACGTAGCATCAGCGTTTCACCTGGGAGCGCTGGAAATTCTTTTTGTTAAATACATCGAATCCTAGAGCCGAAAACATCCATAGCCACAACGATTTAGTTTTCTTATGTCTTTCTTTTCGCAATTACCTTTCTTCTAGACTGGACCGGTGTCAACCTCACTGGTGCGATCCGCATATTGACTTGAGAAGACATCCTCTAAATTTTGAAGCATGCGCTGAGAAACATGATGAAGGTGTTATTTCGCGTCTGCTAACGAAGAAATATTCGGATACGTCTGTTGACGATGTAGTTCACTGTGCTTTGCAGCGTGCTTTAACAGGATGAATCCACGCTATTTTGTTCAATGTAGAAGACCTCTAGGTGCTATGTAGCCGTAGACCAAATCCATTGATCACATCGCTCGATGTCGAAAAATGAATGATGCCAATTTCAGTAAGATGTCCGAGGAAGCAATGCTAATTCAAACATATCATCGTGTGCCGAGCACGTGAGAAGTCCATGTAATTCGAGCATTGGTGTTGACCGGGAGCAACTGGTGTTGCTGCCTTGAGTACCCGTACCGAAGCTGAGGCGCATGCTGAGATCACCTACAACAATTCCTGCATATTTTGAACCGGCGAGCTTTACTTGAATTTTGGGCTGCCTCGTGTTTCTTTTTCTGATTGGCGCGCCGGTCCGGTCGGTGATTATGGGGCCGTGATAATGCGGGGTCCGGGTCTCCGCGGACGCGGCCAGGCCGTCCGCGGAACAAGGTCCACGTAATCAGAATGACGATAGCAAAAGCTATGGCTATTTGAAACATTCGAGGAGACCCATCCATCTATAACATAAGTTTAGTGATCAATAAATATTTGATGGATTGCATATGCTTCCTCGGTACGATGAGCTTTCCACTGTTTGAATAGGATTCCGGCATGTTGAAAATGACTGGGTTTGTCCGAGTTGATGGGAGCTTTTTACAACCCTTGAAAATCGGCTGATACCCGTCTCATTTTGAATACGCTTCTACCGAAATTTGCATACTTGATAGCACCTGAAGCATAAGATTGTTCTGGATGAGCTTTACGCACTTGACTGTGCCTATAGCCTCTCAGCATCAATGGCTATACCTGGTCCTTGCCGCAAGTATCCTCGCAGATTTAGAATGATAAACAGTTTTCTCACTGACTAAAGCTCTCCCTATCATCGGGAATCTTCTCAATGTCGACTTCAATTATCCCTTAGGATCGCTGATCCAGAAAGGGAAGGTCTATGGTATACAATCTTCTGCATAATCATCCATGTGTCTCAGTAACAGGTAACTTCAGGGCCTGTATACACCATGACTTTTGCTGGCCAGAAGTTCATCTACGTATGCAACTACCAGATTGCAAAAGAGCTTTACGATGGTGCGAGGTTCCATAAGATCGTGACTTCTGGAGTCGCAAACCTTCGTTATGCCGCTGGCAATGGTCTCTTCACGGCGCAGGTAGATAATCACGAGTGGGAGATTGCCCACCGCGTACTTCTTCCGCACTTCGGCGCCTCAAAAATCAGGAATATGTTTCCCAGTATGATCGACATTGCAGAGCAGCTGTGTCTCAAATGGTACGCCAAATCCACCGCAAGTCAGAGGAAGCCCTAATCCAATCTAATCAGGGCGCGTTTCGGGCCAACAGCCTTAATCAACGTTTCCAGCGACTTCACGCGACTTACACTTGATACAATAGCGCTCTGCACTATGAGCTTCCGCTTCAACAGTTTCTACTTGGGTGACCGTGTACATCCATTTGTCGAAGCCATGACAGCTTTCCTCGCCGAAGCGGAAACACAGTCGGGGATACCGCCGTATCTGGGCTTTCTGCGTTGGAACTCACAAGCAAAGTTCTTCAAGAGCATCAATTTCATGACTCAGACTTGCAGAGAGATCATTGGTAACAGGCGAGATGTGGCCGCGGACACTCCAGACCTACTTGATGCCATGTTGACTGGACGAGATGCAAAGACGGGAGAGGAGATGACAGAGGAGTCCATCATCAACAACATGATCACTTTTCTCATCGCCGGTCATGAAACCACCTCAGGCTTGTTGTCCTTTGTCTTTTATTTCCTACTTGAGAACCCCGACGCGCTTCAAAAAGCTTACGACGAAGTTGGCTCCATAATTGGCGGCGAACGAATTTCAGTAAATCATCTGCAGCAGCTACCTTTCATTGACGCCGTACTCAAAGAAACCCTTCGTTTGATGCCAACTGCTCCCGGCTTCTTCGTCACCCCTTTTAAGACGGAAATCTTGGGAGGCAACTACGCAATCCACGCCGGTGAGCCAATACTGGCTCTGCTTCATCTCATCCAAAGGGACTCCGTTGTTTGGGGAGATGATGCCGAGGAGTTCAGACCTGAAAGAATGCTGAAGCACAACTTTGAAAAGCTTCCGAAGAATTCTTGGAAGCCTTTTGGCAATGGCAAGAGAGCGTGCATTGGCAGAGCCTTTGCATGGCAGGAGGCTCAGTTGGTATGTTTCGTTTTTCAATCAAGTGAAGCTGACCTCAGCAACTCTGCGGACTCTGCTGAGAACTTTGAATAGATCGTTGCGATGATACTTCAGAATTTCGACATCAGCAAGGGCGATCCGAATTACAGCCTCCAGGTCAAGAATTCTTTAACGATCAAACCCATTGGCTTCAACATGTTGGCCAAAGTGAAAAGTTGCAGGGCCGATGCCGGCCTTTTTCGACCGGGAGAAAGATACTGACGGCTACTATCCCATCAAATGCCACATGACACCAGAGACCCCTTGTGCGGAGTAGAGCCAATCAAAGTACACTGAGCAACGCTAAGGAATTTTTCTGGCCAACGAGAAAATTTGTAGACTCTGTAATTGGGGTAAAACTGGGTCTTTTATGGACAGGACTTTTTGGCGTCATGTGGCATTTGATGGGATATGATGCGAAAAGCACCAAACAAGAGATGTTTTCCACCCCGCCTCTGGTCGTACCGCTAATGCATCAATGTTGAAGATCCTTGTAAATCTCCAGGATGCAGATCCTGTGTGAAAGACAAGCTGTCAGACTGCTGCTGCACTATCCGCAATCCGTACTTCGTACTTCCTTAAACACGCGGCATGCGAGACATCGACGCGATATGCTGTCTTTGGCGATTAAATCTGATTCGAGGAGTCGTAAGTGCCCCTTGTGGATCTTGTAAGCCCGTCAGCACTGCGCCTGGAAGTTGGACAAATCCTCAGCCCCTCCCTCGACGGCCTTCAGAGACAGACCGATTACAGCAGTGTGGGCGAGATACGACATACTGTTGTTGGTAACGGAGACACGGAATCATGCTTAAATTTGACGTGGCGTGTGTGTTCAGCAGCTGAGCAGCTGTGCCTTAGGAGTGCATACAGGGGCGTCATGCATGTCGAAGCGAGCACAACACCAACGTCAAAAAGTACGACACCAGACGTGGAACATAAGGTACAAGAGGCGACCCTGCCCCTCTTTGAATTCATTACTTGTGGTAAAAGCCTTCTGCTTCAATTTTTGTCGTCTTTTCTCGAGGATCTCGCGATGTGGTCCTCAGCCATGCTTCCCCCCAGACTCTTGCTGGCTGCAGCGTGTATGCTTGGCAACTCCCTCCCTGCATTTGCGCAGACGACCGACGTCGATAGCAACGTCATTGAGCCTGCCGATTTCAACTTGTCCAATGCCTTGTTGGAGCACGGGGTCGCGGTCTCGGATATTCCTAGCTTGTCAACCCTCGGAAAACCATCACAGCCCGAATGCTCCGTTGCTGTGAGTTGCAGCTTCAGATCCACAAGCAGTCACAAATTGACACTTTACAAATTCAGTGCGACACGCTAAAATTTCTCTACGGAGACGGCGCTGTCGAGACCAGAAATGAGGCAGCATACAATAGTTTCGTCGGGTCATACTGGTCGGCGAACCAGGCTGCGGTCAGGCCTTGGTGCGTCTTCAAACCGTCCCAGGCGGCGCAGGTCTCTGTGTTTGTGCTCCTGTCTCGTTTGACCCACTGCCCCTTCGCGGCCAAGAGCGGTGGGCATGCTGCCATGGCTGGTGCTTCCAGTGCTCAGGATGGCATCACCGTTTCGTTTATGAACATGACGGGTATCAAGCTGTCTGACGACAAGAAGATTGCTTCAATCGAGCCTGGGAATATTTGGGGCGACGTCTACAGGGAGCTCACCAAGTCCGATGTGACCGTTATCGGAGGTCGGTTGTACAATATTGGCGTAGGAGGGCTGACGACCGGAGGTATGGCAAGATGACGGCCTCACAAATGCTACCGCAGGCTTACATGGCACCAGGTGGAATTTCCTATTTTTCCAATGAGCACGGCTGGGCTTGTGACAATGTGGAAAGCTACGATGTAGGTGACAGTGCGCGCATTCCATGATTTTCAGGATTGACTGTCTGGCAGCTTGTCGTTGCGACTGGCGCCGTGATCCGAGTCTCGGCGACGACTTATCCGGATCTCTTCTGGGCCCTCCGTGGTGGCGGCAACAACTTCGGCCTGGTCGTCAACTTCAACCTCAAGACGACCACCCTCCCAGGTGGCAAGATGTGGGGAGGCAGAAGGACGTACACAGAGAACAACTTTGACAAGGTTGCTGAGGCATTCCACAACATTGTCGTCAATTCTGAACAAGACAACAAAGCCGGCTTGTGGCACGTCTGGATGTATGCTTTTGAGACCAAAATGACGGTTCCGACGCTTTACTACAGCGAGCCCAACGGCAGTCACGCTGCCATTTTCGACGAGTTCAACAAGATTCCAGCCTACGACGATGCTACACAGGATCACATCCTAGCGGAATTTGCCGCTCAGGGGATGTATGATACGCCCCCAGGCCTGCACGAAGTCTACTATGTCATCAGCACAAAGGCGGACTTGAGCCTTCAAAACTGGGCCAAAGATCTCTACTTCAAGGAGGTCATGGCCGTCGCGAATATATCTGGCATCGTGCCCGCTCTCACGATGCAAGGTATCACGATTCCGCAGCTCATGAAAATGCGAAACAACGGCGGAAATGCGTTGGGTTTGAACGTCGACGATGGGCCACTCTACATCATCCAGATGGCTGTCATGTGGGCCGACGAAAAAGACAGCGAGGCCGTCTACCGTTTTGCGTCCAACCTCCTTGAGAAAATCTCCGACGAGGCAAAGCAGCGAGGGTTGTACAATGACTTTGTGTACATGAACTACGCCAGCCAGTATCAGGATGTGGTCAGCAGCTACGGGAAGGACAACAAAGACAGGTTGAAGAGCATCTCTGCGAAGTACGATCCCAACGGTGTCTTTCAAAAACTGCAGCCGGGGTATTTCAAACTTGATCGTGCGCCAATTACTGGCACCAAATACTTTTCGTTCTAGGTCTGGGGATCGGCGGCGATATAGCGAGCCCATGTGACAACTGGGATGATATCAGGGACTTACAAGTAAGTTAGCTTGGTGTTTCTTGAACTATCTCTTCCACCCTACACGTCATTTGGAGTTGCTATCAAGCCTTTGCCGACACCGGTGTCGAGAGCTTTCACTCGAACGGCGGGAATCGTGCCGAGACGAGGAAAGTGAGGTTAATCGGTCAGGAGAGTCGCCAGAATAGAGTTCGTTAAGTCATCGGTCGTTACTGCTTTCTGTGCCGCTGCTTTTGCCACCTGGATGGAAATCGTAAAGGTGCTTGCTGAAATATGGGACTTGGGTACTGCTTTGGGCATCTTCGCCCCTCTTACCGGATATACCTTTACACCAAGTATAAAAGATAAAATACCTCACACTTGAAAAAAGAATGCTTCCTTCCTCTGATTGCTAGCTTCCACCACAGAGGCGCTGCTACACAACGACACAACACCACCGCCTACACAATGCCGTTACACCCACGAAACTTTCGCCCGCAAAGGCGCGACGCGCAGATATATACCCGGAAGCTGAACTGGTATTACCTTCCTTACGAGCTCCGAATCATGGTTCTGGGACACTTAGCTAACCACAACGTCCACAAGGCCGAGCGAGCATCGTGGCCCACCGTTTGCGCGGAATGGCGCGACTTTTTCGAGACCCGCGCCTTTGCGTGCCTCACGCTACAAAGGGTCGACGATATCCGTGACTTCGGGCGTCTCGGCCGCCATCTACGCGACAAGGTCAAGAGAGTCAGATTGCACGTCCCGCTGAATCGATACGACTGCACACGATGCGACGAGCCCGAGGACACGCAGGAAATCATAGCGAACAACATGGCGTTCAGCGGCCTGCTTCTCGCGCTGCTTAATATCTTGGCAAGCTGGCAACGAAGAGAAGATGGGGGACTTGCCCTCGAGATCAGCGCAGCGTCACCGAGCGATACACAACATTACCTTGCGTCGTTTCGGACTTCCCGGGAATTCTTAGACAATATCGTATGTCACTTTTATGAGAGACGCCCAATGAAGCCGCTGAACATACGGGGTGCCAAACAGAGGATACTTGGGAACCCACTCGACCTCTACACGGCCTCCGACCCCCACAGAGCGCATTTACCGGGGCTTAAAGTTGGGGATCGAAGGGCTTAGAGTGCCCGTAATCACCCAATTCATCGTCAACCGGGAGTCACGCCGTGCTCTGAGCGAAGGGGCAATTCAGCGTGTGTTTGAGTATCTTCCAAGCCTTAAGACTGTCACTTGGGAGCCGTGGAGCGGAACAGTCGCAGAGAGCCAGTGGCCTCGTGAGCTGGCTAACTTGTCGCTGCTCGCAAATCTGCCGGCCACGGTCCGAGGCTTGACCCTTTGGGAGTGTTGGCAAGAGCCGACAGACATCGGACATGAGCATGAAGATGCTTCACAAAGCAGACCTGCTGGCTGGCATGCGTTTCTCTGGAGGAGGAAAGAAGAGAGAACGCGGGAATTCAGTACTTCGCAACTCATGGCTGTGATTGCGGCAGAGAAGATGACGGGGCATCGCCGCATGGCCTTGACCGCGGCGTATGCTTGCCGCAACCTGTCTTCTTTTAACGCAGCCGGAATTATTGACGCAACGGCCTTCTTTCAAAATTTGGTGCTCCTGGCCGAAGCACAGCCGCGACTGACTTGGTGCAACCTCACAACTATTGCCTTGAAAACTCCACAGGTTTTGTGGCGCGACTCGAGAGAGGGGTTGTTCTGTGCGGCTAGGGATGCTGCCGCGCTTATGCCTCAGCTTCGGGTCATGGAGCTGTGGGATGTGACCGCGAATGCCGGGGCCGTGTTCCGCTTCAGAGTGCTTGAACTGGAGGCAGAGCTGGTGCTGGAGACGACGATAGGGGCTCAGCTGAGCGACAAGGTTCGTGAGCTTTGGGACGATCTGGCGTGGCAGCGGAGAGGGAAACAGATGATTGTAAGAGTACGAGTTCTCGGTCAAGATGCCGTGAGAGGATCACGGAAGGGCTTTTTTCAGCGTCTCCGGCTCCTTGATCCGCTTCAGATGAGGGAGTGGAACACCTATAGATTGTATTAAAGTGCATGAGATTGAACGAGATTAAGAGAGTGTATCATAGTGTGAGAGTACCTATGTTGGAGGATGAGAGTAACTTTGAGAAGGACAGAATACTAGAGAATGAGAGTTATAAGAGCATGGATAAACAAGAGTGTGACAATATATCATAGTATGAGACCTCCAAGAGTATCAGATTATGAAAGAGTCATTGAGAGTAGATACTATCAGTACATGAAAACACACATCGTACCGCCGCCGGTAGTTTCACACATAGCGGTACAAATCAAAGCATGGATTGAGAGCAGACCCGAGAATCGTGAGCTGGACGTCGTAGATGCAGCAGGTAGAGACAATCACAGATGAATCTCACTTAGTCACCGACCTGACCATACGGCGGTCAATCCCAGTGCCTGATGAAGCGACCATTCCGAATCGAATGGGTTGTCTCTCGCATCACGCTTGCGACGGCTCCATTCGCCGGCGTGCCTCTTGGGTTGAAGATCAGCACGTCAAACCAAGCTAGCAACTGCTAGTTTGTAAGTCTGCCTGGGGTTGACAGCGGCACCAAGAAACAGAACCTCGCACCGTGTCCATCAAGGAATTTTACAAAATAATGCAATATCAAGTGACCATGTCAAGTCGTGACGTCGTTAACCCAGCAAGGCAATCGATCCTTCATCGCAAGTCCATCAGACGTGAACCCCCAAAAGCGAGATGTGCCATCTCTTGCCCGGGCCGAAGATCAGAAGAAAGGAAAGACAGAGTCAGGGGCAGGAACAGACAATCTCCCGCCCATCAATGCCATGGACATTGGGGCCTGAGACATGTGCGTTTAAACCGATCTCGGGACGGACCCCCAATCATAGAGATGCGATTCACCCAAAATTCCACGGGGAGGAGGCGTCGAAATTGGGTTGTTTGCGCGCTAGCACCAGCAGGTAGCGGCGCGCCGTCCGTTGGGCGAGGTGATGCAAAGCAAGCCTCGACGTTGCGCCGTCCCGACTTACTGGCAGGTGTCAGATGCATGAAATCCAACTCAGACCGCATACGCGGTGGTACAGCAAAGCTGAAGTGAGTTGCAACCGGTTCTGATGGAGGTTAGTTTGGCTGAGGTGACCGCCCCGCGTGATGCGCCTCAACCCAACCTCTGCACCCTCCTGGCCTCTCCAGGCCACCTTAACCACTTGTCTGGGTGGCACACAGGGGAGCGGTCAGGCAGGTTGGGCGGGTCATGGGGCGTTGGGCGGGCTGGTACGTGGCTGCACTGGCGGCGGGAAGAAAACTCCGATTGGAAATGCAGTTGCAGCGGGAGGAATGGAGGAGAAATTTGGATGGTGATGTTAGGTCATGTTCCTCCAAGACAGTGTCTCTCGCGTAGTGATGGCGTCTTGTGGTACAGGCTTTCGGGTATGGATACTCGTACGAATGGGCTTCCCTGGATGAAAAGGACGAGGTGATGATTCGGCCAAGGGGCCAGGTGACGCCATGCTGGGCCCAGATCCAGTCTGGACAGTTCACTGTGCATGGAGGCGCGGAGACCATGGGGAGCTTCCCCGCTCTCTAGGCAAATAGCCCCCGACACGCCTGAAGCTTGCTTGCTTGGTGTTTGCTTCCCGAGCTTCTGATCATGGGGGCGGAGAGCTCGTAGTGGTGGTGGTCAGTGAGTGACAACGGCAATGACAAGAGAAACGAAAAAAGTCCGAGTAGTAGATAAAGGTCGCCAAGTCTCGCAGACTTCGGGATTGTTCGAGTGCTGTTGGGGATATCGTTGTTCTATCCGCGCCTCTTTTTCGCCTTCGATTGCGTGCTCCAGAGCCAAGACAGCAGGCAGCCAGCAGCTTCCCCGGATCTTCACTGGCGGCGCAGCTAGGTAGGGGGAAGGGGAAAAGAGAAAGACAGGAACCAGGCAAAGTCATAAAAAACGGGGGCCCTGAGGAAGACAGTGGTGATCCCTGTCAACGACGCATCTCTGATCAGTGATTCGGGGCGGCGACGGTGGGTGGTTGTGGTGCCTTGCTGCCATCATCCCGCGGGCCACTCTCTCGATCAATCAGGTTCTGGCTTGTGCGGTGATCCGGACCCCGTTCTGGGCTGCGTGCTTCCGCGGGCTTGCGTTTGCTCGCTTCCTTGCTTGCGTTTTGCGTTGCTTGGTTGCTCATCGCAGCTCGGCGTCAGCTTCCACGCCTCGTTGGAGTGGTTCCTGGCCGTCCCTCACCCACCGGATTCCCACCTTGGGACGGGTCCCCTGGGCTGATCTGCAGCACCCGGGCGAGGAGGGAGATTCCAGAATCCATTGCGGCAGCAGTAGCAGCGTCGTTCCCGCTCCCGTGCCGCCGCGGTCTAGGCATCGCGGCACGCAGGACGGAGCTGCGCGAGGGTGGGAAGAACAGCAAAGCGCCCGGGCTTGGACGGCAGGACGGCAGGACGGCACCGCGGCACGCTCGGGCGGTCTGCGCGGCCTTGGGATCGGACTGAAATCGTTGGGTTGAAGGTTATTTGTCGGCGGCGGCTCTGCAGCAATCATCGAGGGTGCAGCATTTCCAAGGAAACAAGAAACGCACAAGCCGACTGACTGCGCTCGCAGTGTGCTAGTGAAGGAAAGAAAGCGTTGAGTGTTGGCTGCCCGGCTGGGATTAAGGGTCCGGAGAGACAGACGGTGGACAGACAGCGTTTTGCAGTGGGTGGTGGGAGTGTTTCTCCTCGCATCGACTTTCCGCAGGTGCGCAGGGTGAATGCCTCCATCGGGACGGGCTCCAAGGTGCGTGTTTCCGATTCTGAAGGGTGGAAGTGAGTGGTGAAGGTGTGGATGGCGAAGATGAGGTGAAGCGAGGCGAGAGTGATGGGCGAATAGGGGGCCGAGGAAGCTGAAGCTCAGTCAATGCTAACCGAGGTGGCAGCCAGTTTCACCCAAGTCACGGATACCTGAGGGCGCTGCGACGTGCTGGGGGAGCATCGAGTACTCGTCTCTTGTTGTTCCGGGGGTGCCCAAAGTTCTGCTGATAAGGTATCCTCCGACTTGTCTTTTGGGAGAACTCTCAGACATCTGAATCTCGTGGGAGACGGCGGACGGACGTCGGGATACCGGACAATAACAACCAACGGCGAACGGCACCGATAGCTGCCTTGCTCGAGGTGCTAGGTAAGGTCGAACAAAGTGGAAGGCTTCGTCTGAGAACAATAGGCACCCAGCAACCAGTGGGCTTTGAACACCGCAGCAGCTTCTTTCGAAAGGTATTGTTAGTTGCAATTGTTCTTGTCTTCCAAGCTACTGCCTTAGGAAGACGCACGTAAAAGGGACAGAGAGACACCATCAAAAAGGTACGTAGGTACATCTCTCATTACGTCAGAAAGGTCTGGCCAGTCAATCCAAAGGAATCCAGTCAGGGAAAAGGGGGACCTGCGTCACCACCACCACCACCAATACCACCAAAAGAGAAAAAGAAACACAGACTGGACTGGACGTCGAAGTGGTGGTCTGGGGCTGGAAACGTCCCATATCCCCGGGGGGGCATGCCGCATGAGAAACGCGACACACTTTCGAACCCTCTTCGAAGGCTTCAATGCAACCCTTTCCCTTCCTTTCTCTCCCGTCGTCTCCTAGATCTTTTTCTTCCCTCTCAATCTTCCCTCCCGACCCATCACCTAACTTACCTCTGTAACAAGCATTGCATTGCACCTGTAGTATTGCCACGCCCGCCCCGACCATATTGCTACCTTACCTTATCTACCTGGGCACCTTCTTATTGCCATTGGGTTGCCGATAATTCTATTACTCAGTCTGAACATCATTGCTTAATACCCTTGGACAACCAGGACCCCTCCAGATTGATCTGCGCCCCGATAAACGCAGCTCCAACACGATCGAGGACGGACGAGACCAGGGGACCAAGCCAAGAAAGAAAGAGAGAAAAAAAAAGACACGAGGGTCTAAAGGAGGGTCTAAACACCACCTGTCGAGGGAGAGACGGACACAGCACACAACATCGGAGCTCTCACAGCTAAGCTTCCATCCGCCCACCACACCACACCTTTCTTAATAGTAGGGTACCTGGGCTATCGCTTGCCTCTCCCGCCATCCCACGGCGGATACCTTACCTCACCTCACCTACCTTAGGTACTACGGGCATTTGCTGCACACAGTACCGCTATCGCTACCTGGCGCTGCCGCTGCCACTACCACATCCCGCACCACCCTTTCTACCCCCCGTCCACGTCCCCTTAAACGCGACCAAACCCACGAGACAAAACTCCCGACCCGACGAAACCTCGACCCCTGGAATTTGGGGGGACGCTCCGCGCGACGCACACATTTTCTCCTCGAGATAAATCACCAGTAACCTAATTTTCCCTCCTTTCGAATCGACCGACGCCAATTGGCAATATATCGTTTTGTCACCACCAGATTCCCCCTCGACAGCCGCCATGGCTCTCCTCGACGCAACGACGCCGCCGGCGGGGGGCCCTACGCTCTTTGGCATCACCATGAAGCAGCTCTCCCTCATCACGGTATGCGATCCGATGCGATGCGCGCCCACCTCCCTCCCATTGCGCTTTTTCTCTCTCCTTCGGGTGACTGGTGCTGACAATGGCCTCGTCTTGTAGCTGACCTTCCAAAACTCGGCATTGATCTTGGTATGTATCCCCCTCCAGACAGGAACACGACACCAAGCTAACCGCATCTCTGCCAGATCATGCACTACTCCCGCATCATGCCCCCCGTGAGCGACCACCGATACTTCACTTCCACCGCCGTCTTCCTCAACGAGGTCATCAAGCTGTCCATCTGCTTGACCTGCTCCATCGCCGAGGTCTCCCGCACCCTGGCCCCCTCCACCCCCGCCACCGTCATCTTCGAGCAGATCTACAACCAAGTCTTCTCCGGCGACGGCTGGAAGCTCGCCATCCCCGCCACCCTCTACACGCTGCAAAACACCCTGCAGTATGTCGCCGTCGGTAATCTCGACGCCGTCCACTTCCAGGTGCTCTACCAGCTCAAGGTACGCCCTCGCCAGAGAGAGAGA